TTGTGATATTTTTTTATTCTACGAACATGTATAATATCTTCAGTTAATATATTATTAAGTTTTAGTTTTACCATATAATTTACGTCATTTATTTTTGACATAATTTCATATGGTCAGAACTGAAAAAGGCTCAGATACATCAAATAATTACTACAATGATTTCATATAATTTAAATCGAATTTATCTCATCCATGACCCATTACAGTGACCCATACGATACCTTATGTACAGTAAAGCTATGTCAACCATTTTTTTGAAATGAGTTATTATTTTGTTGATCCTATTTAAAAATCCTCGTCGCCATGTGTTGTCTATATTGAATTAGTTAATAAAGTATATGTAAAAATCAAAATTGGCACTTTTTAAATAATTAATGTAGCAAGCTAGGTACCAATTGATTTTATATTTAATCATAATTTAATTAAACTATTATCTAATCGTTATATTTTAGCCTACAAATGTCTTCTATATTTTAACAATGCTTTCCAATACCGCACAAATTTATTAAAACTAATACAAATTTAGACATAATAATATTACATAGAATTAAATTAAAATTCAATAAAATCAAAATACACAATCCAAATAAAAATAATCTATATGTTACATGAAAATAATTAAATAGCATCTATATTATAGCAGATGTAATATAGTGACCATACGTATTATTTTTAAACGGAAAAGTGTAATTTTTCTAACCTCTGTCTCGTTGTCCCTTGAAGAATCTACCAGACACTAAAATTTCCCGTTTTCAATAGGAAGACCAAAAATTAATGAAAATAAAAAAATGTGGTGGTTGGAGCTGAGTACTATCACTGTGTTAAAGCATAAAAATTGTACATCAATTTAAAAAAAAAACTCTTAGGATCCAAATTCCGAGTTATGTCTTTTTTTATTACGTTCAAAATATACTTCTCCATTTGTATGCGGTAATGGGATATCCAGTATTTTAAAATCTGTGTCCGGTTTTTTTTCCATGTGGATTTTTCACATTTTTGTGATAATGGGCCACACCGCACACGCCCTTTCAAGTAAAATATTTTTGACTCAGGTGGTGACTATATACGCATCGGTTTATTCATTTATACTGCACTTGATTTTTACAAGACACTTGAGTACTAAACAATCTAAGACCACCCATATAATATCCATACGCAGCTGTGGGGTATATGTAGCCATTGAACAACTTGTTATTTTGATAAAATTATAATAATATATGGCTTGTTGGATATGAGTTTGATTCAATCTAAGGTATTGCAGATAACATTTAACAGCAGTAGAAGAAACCCGTATAGATGGCTCAAATTCCACGTGTTGTCTATAGGTGATCAAAAACACATTATTACTGTACTCTAATCGATAACTACAACAAATTTCGGCGGATAATAATAATTCTTATTATGATTATTATTGTCGTCGTTGATGTATAGCTTTAGGATCTCAGTCGCCGTGCACTATTTCCGACTCTCGTTCATTATTTTAGTTTTTTTTTTGTATTGATCATAATGCCTAGCAACGATGATCACTAGCTGTTTGTAAGATAATACGGTTAGTTTGGAACACGTAATGTATGTATGGTAAAGATTTTGTTACTTACAATACCAGCTGGTCACCCATTCAGGCGCTAGCAATGCCAGCCGCAGCGTTCACTGGGCCACACTAAGCCACTCGTCGATTAATGTTGACACCGATGACCATGAAAATATTAGGTGTATAAAATATATATATATATACTATTTAAGTTTATATGGGTTTGTACAAGTTTAACTATAACGCTCTATAACTATATAGATGGGCGTAGGTACTCCAGTAGGTACAGTAAGTAGGTATTCGTGAAAAAAAGGAAAGAAAAAATGATTCAATTTCCCATTCGAACCGTCCCCATCGCCCATGCTAACTGATGAAACAAAACGTTAATTCAAATGTCTATTTACGTTTCACAAAGCACGGAACAAAAACGAACGACTATTAATTAATACACGTTGAACTTCTAGGTAGGAACAAAACTCGCTTTGTGAAGATCCGGTGCGTGCAGAATAATTATTGTAAACAATTTATCGGTCGTGAAATGTAAAACTACCCTCATTTTTTATTAGTTTTTACCTGCGATATAGTATTATAAATATTAAATATTATGTACAATATTATTACCACGCTATTATTTAATTTTAAATCGGGTACGTATATTATTGGTAATCCGGAGTACAATCATTTTTTTTTTAATTTTATATTTTTCATAACTGTAATATAAGAGAAACAAGCACACAGTTAACATATTGTAATATAATATTGTCAACAACTTGATTTATTAGCTATTGATTCGAACTACTTTTTATTTGTTTTTTATATGTATATTATATTCAATATCAATACATCGTCTGTTTAGGATTGTCTTCGGGAAGATGGAATAGGGGCCAAGTTCTTATTTTTTTAAAGATCATTATTTAGTAGCTGAATTGTTTCTGATAACATAAATATCTCATTAACAAAATAGTGTATGGTTATTTAAGCATATTATACATTCTAATTACTAATTATAAGTTAAGTGATTGATTTTAAATAAGTTTATATCTTATTTTGTGGTTAAAATTGTTTACTCATAACCCACATAATGCATTGTGTCCATCAGTGGCATATTTTTGGGGCGATCTCCCCCCCGAGAGATCTTTGAATATTTTAATATTTTATGATTGTTGAACTTATAAATGTTTCTAAATATTTTAATTAATTAATAAATAATTTTTTTGGATGAGAAATTTTTGTGATAACTGTCAACTGATAATACATCAATACAACCGGATTACTGCTTAGTGATTGCTCTATGGTACTCAAAGATGRAACATTTGGCCCGAGGACTGGGTAACGTAGTCGTGCCAAACGAATGATGGAACGGAAGGTCACCTGTTGGGATGGTTACCTAAATCTCATTCTGTRCCTAAAATATGGTGACGATGGGTCATTTCATCATTGTGATAAACTGATAACTTATCTGATACTTATCTATGGAATAATTAAATATAATATTTATTATTYATGAATTTGATATACAGTAAAGTCGTTCAAAGTTAAGTTGAAGGGGTATACAATTTTAATTCGAAATATGAATTAGTCGAGATATTTTACTCGAATTTAGGGTAAATGAGGTTCTAGGGGAATAAAAAAAAAATCAAGTTGTCAAGTTTTTCTAGTTATCACAACACGACTGTATAAAGACTTACCAACAACTTTGAAACAAATGTTTTCATTATTCGAAATGTGGCATATGCTTAATTGCTCTGTATTTAGTTTTTAGTAATAGTAGTTACATTCTCTCTTTGTTATTTTCGTTTACTACTCTCCTCGACTTCACACATCCACATTTTGGCTTTTCCACTTTTAATTATTTATATCCTTATATTAGTCATATCTGCTACTTTATTTTATTTTGTCAATAGGTTAAAAACTTGGCCGAGATCAAAAATGGGCCAGAATCGGCTTATAGGATTRGCATTATTAAACATTCATAGATCAAAAKAAATAAATGTTGATGATGCAATTGATCGGTTCACAAGTCTTAAAAAAAGAAATATAGATTTTGTTTTATAAATAAAAATTCTTTAATAAAAGTGCTTAAATAAATAATAAAAATGCTTTGTTTTTTTATACATCTAAAAAAAAATGTTTTTAATTTGTGGGGGCGATTTACTCCTCTTAATATCGCCCCCCCCCCTAGGTGAAGTCTCAAATACGCCATTGGTCTCCATCCAACTAACGCAAAATATGATACTTTTTTTGATATTTTAATTTTAGATTCTGAGCGAAGTAATAGATATATTAATTTTACAATGTTGTGTGTTTGTTTTTTTTTTTTGTGCCTGTGTACACGATAAGTTGTCCAAATAATGTTTCGATTTTAAACTTCAGTAGCTTTTCCGGTTGGAAATTGAGTATAGTTGGTGCGTCATGAATGTCAAATTTTGAGATTCCGAATATTTTTCTAAAATACAGGGAAAAACAAAAACAAAAACGGGAATTTTTACGCAAAATCAATTTTAGATATTGGTGTAACTGTAAAACAAATTACTGTAGATACATGAAATTTTCACTGAATGTTTAAACTGGCATATCCTATACTTGATAAAATTTTCTAAAATTTTTAAGTTATTTATAGACAATTAAATTTTTCAATCTTTTTAGCTATAAAATCTTATTCCTTAATTGAAAAAGCTTCAAAATTTAATACAAGGCTCCTAATATATTGTCACAATGGTAATTAAAAAATCATAAAAATACATAGTTACATTTTTTTTTAATAAGCATTGAACGTTCGAATTTTGATTAAATATGTAAAAATCACGAAAATTCATAGAATGTATCTTTTTAAATTTTAAATTTGAGAATTCAATACAAGATTTGTCATGAGTTCGTACACTTTTATCGAGTAAAAAATGTCTATCAAAAAGTTAAATTAAATTATTATAAGCATTTGAATTACAACATTAGATATTCACTCAACATCTCTTGTACCGATATTCTTATTTTGCTGTTATTCAAAAACGAATAATTTTAGATATTTTAAATTTAAAAGATATGTTTATTTTATTAATTCGGATAATTCCTATACTTGACAAAATTGTGTACACCATAACTAGTCRAAATAATGCTTCAATTCAAACTATGGGGGTGTTTTCCGATGGAAAAGTTAATATTCATGGTACGTTATAAACTATTACATAATATATAAGGTATTCTTATAATTGTTTGACGATCAGCACACATTACTGAGATATGGATTTATTACTTATACAAGAAATTTTTAGCCAATATTGGTCACATTAAAAAAGGACTATACTGATGTATCTACGGCCTTCGCTGTATATGTATTATTTACAGGTAAACTCACGAGTTTTATATTAATTAATCGTTTAATTGTTCAAATCTTAAAAAAAAATAGATTATTTATAAAAAGAGTATATTATACAGGTTCTTACTACGGATATATTTTGCTTTTATCAATAAAATGAAGTGAGCTAAAATGTGTAGGTAATAAGTATAATTATAATAAGTATGTTTTCAAGTATCGATTATCGAATAAAAATCTGTTTATTAAAACCAGTTATAAATAATATAAAAATGTAAATTATTCATTATAACGGCATTGGTCCTCCGCGAAAACTCTTGGTCTGTGGCCGCAACATCTCGTTATCCACCGCGGCATCTCCTTGTTGGCCACAACGTTTCTATTAGTCGGCCGCGGCATCCCTTTGTTGGCCACAGCTTCTCTTTATCCGCCGCGGCATCTCCCTGTTGGCCACAGCTTCTCTTTGTCAGCTGCAGCATCTCCTTGTCAGCCGCGGCGTTTCTATTATTCGGCCACGGCATCTCCTAGTCAGCCACGGCGTTTCTTGGTCGGCCGCGGCATCTCCTTGTTAGCCACAGCTTCTCTTTGTCAGCTGCGGCATCTCCTAATCAGCCGTGGCGTTTCTATTATTCGGCCACGGCATCTTCTTGTTGGCTGCAGCTTCTCCTAGTCAGCTGCGGCATCTCCTAGTCAGCCACGGCGTTTCTTGGTCGGCCACGGCATCTCTTTGTTAGCCACAGCTTCTCTTTATCCGCCGCGGCATCTCCTTGTTGGCCATAGCTTCTCTTTATCCGCCGCGGCATCTCCTTGTTGGCCACAGCGTATCTTTGTCAGCCWCGTCACCTCCTAATAAGCCGCGGCGTTTCTATTAGTCGACCGCGGCATCCCTTTGTTGGCCACAGCTTCTCCTAATCAGCTGCGGCATTTCCTAGTCAGCCACGGCTTTTCTTGGTCGGCCGCGGCATCTCCTTGTTAGCCACAGCTTCTCTTTGTCAGCTGCGGCATCTCCTAATCAGCCGCGGCGTTTCTATTATTCGGCCACGGCATCTCCTAGTCAGYCGCGGCGTTTCCTAGTCGGCCGTGGCATCTCCTTGTTGGCCACAGCTTCTCCTAGTCAGCTGTGGCATCTTCTAGTCGACCGCGGTGTCGTGTGGCCTGCCGCGACTTCTCGTTGGTCGCGACAGTGTTTTGTCAACCACGGCACCATCTTTGTATGTTCATTTTRAAGTTAAGTTACTTATTTGTTTCTATTGTTATACACATAATTGTTAAATTAAGGAAAATTGAGAATTTACTTTTAATCAACTATATTATAACGAATTTTATATTAAAATGTTTTCTTTTACTTCTGTTATTTTTCACCATGGTCGTCAAGTGTAGTCAGTCATAAACATAGTATTACATAGTAATACATAGTGTTACCTAACAGCTGTGATTTTTATAGTTATAATAGTAATAAGAAGTTTATTGTAACATCAACAATTTTTAAATACAATAATGAATTAATAATAGTATAAATGTTATATTATTTAATTAATACGTGTACGATAATAATTATTCAACCATAAATAAACGATCTTCGTATTTGCCGCGACGTGTCATTTGAAGGGAATCAAAACTGTTTTATCGCCATTTAAAGTATGGCCCCACTGAATGCGATTTGCGATACAAGCGATTGTGCGAGCGATATTGTCCAGCGATTTTTACGATTTTGGTGTGGCCAGTCCCGCGTTATTATTGTTTTATAGCGAATGGTTTTAATTGTCAAGATGACTTCGTTCAATTCAAATCACGTAAAATACATTTATCTGAAAGTTCTGCTTCAATAAAGCAAGAGTTGAAATGTTTAAAGAACGTTTATGGGTACCTACACGAATTAAATACAAATAATACCTGGATTGTACTTAACATCTATAATCATCTCTTTACTTAAATCTGACCAACACTGATGAATAATACTTAATTGTCCTACTTCTATGACCAGCATGGTGAGGGTTCCAAATTGGTTCTTTTAAAAATTCTACTGTAGAAAATTTATATGGATCGAACGACATAGTGGGCTTTTGAAGAGCGATCAATCGTTTGAAAACAAACTATTTTGATTTATTTACGTTAAAAGCGATATATCGTAAAATGCAAAACGTGAAACGCTGACAGTGTARCCATGCCATTCTATAATTTAGATGAAATCGTAAAATCGCAAATCGCGTTCAGTGGAGCCTATTACACGTGTTAGAAAATACAAAATTATTTAATTGTTTTAAAATTACTTTACATTTATACCTACCTAGAAAACTTCATACAACTCAAAAAATGTAATACCCAAGCCAAATTTTTTAATAAAATAAACTAATGGAAAGAATTTACAACTAGCATAAACTTCAAAACTAACTCATCCAARGTATGGAACAACATTCATTCATTGAAAAGTCTAAACCTAAACCAAGAAATACATATATCTGACGAACAAGGAACAACATCATCTCTTGAAGATGTCGCTGAAAAAATCGGCACATACTTCCTAACCAATTTTAGCAAAAAAATTTACAAACAAGAATTTATAGATGGAATAAAAATACCATCCGAAAACACACCGATAATCTCAATGATAAACCCTAACAACAGCGACCAAATTGACCTGAACTCCWGTTTAACACTCAACGAAATGGAAACTGCACTTAATAAATGTCAGAGCAAAAGCCCTGGCCCTGACAGCATCCCTTATTGTTTTATTATAAACCTTGGTAAAACAGCTAAACAATTCTTATTGGATATATACAATAACATATGGCATTCAGGTATTATACCTAAAGAATGGAAAAAGGGAATAATAATTCCGATTCTTAAACCTKGGAAAAACAAACATTCTACTGTAGGATATAGACCTACACTCCAAAATACAATGACAAAAATTATGGAAAAGATCATAAACTTAAGATTAATATGGTTCTTAGAAAAAAACCAAATATTATCCAAAGAGCAAAGTGGATTTTGACACACTAGATCAACAATGGATGACTTAATTACAATAAAAACCGAAATATAAAAYGCATCCGAACATAAACAAATACTCGGAATGATCAGTTTGGATATAACAAAGGCTTACGATTCTGTATGGAGACATAGAATACTAACTCTATTGAGTAAAATTTTAACAAATGGCAATATGTTCAAATATATTACAAACTTTCTAAAAGAAAGACAATTCCAGGTCAAATATTCCATACCTTATCAAAGACRTTCAGCCAAAAAAATGGTATTCAACAAAGATCATATCTGGCAGTTACACTTTTTCTCTTTGCCATTAGTGACATTGTTGAAACAATTAAAGTTCCMATAAAAGCTAACTTATTCGCTGATGACTTTAACATATTTTRCAGAAGCAATAACCTAAAAACTGTCCAAGAGTATCGAAATCAATTTCACATCTCCGAACAAATCTGTCGAGCACTTGGACCAAACCCACAGGATGTACAAAACTTAATTTYATTCTTAAAAAAAAACAGAATTGTACAATTAATTTAATGTAGAAAATTTAAATACTTAAAATACTAAAAATGTAACCTAAAAAAAAAATTATTTTACTAATGGCCTAATTGTCGGTGTATTTTGATCAACAAAAAAAAAAAATCAAGAATGACAATTTTAGTTATATTATTGTAATTTAAATTTAAAATGTTATTCGTGGGTACTTAAATTTCTAGAGTATACTTTATATTCTAATATTAATAGCTAATATCATTAATGACTAATATTAATACTTTATAATACTTTGTATATACCTGCTATGAATAACTGAGTAAGTTGGGTTTTTAGGTACCTACATAATAAATACGATTTGATTAATTTGGAATTTATTTTACATGTATCTGAACTTTTGTTTTATAATAACAATATAATAAATTAATATGGTATAACATATCCTAGACTGATAAACTGTTTTCACTCAGAATCGTTTTTCGTATACAATGATATACCTATCATCGAATTCAAATTTAATACCATTTATTACAGCAACGTACTGTACAACAGAGCAACATCCACATATTCACCACTTTTTTTAAGCATTTATGAGCATTTTTAAAGTTATACATTATTCACTATTATAAAAATAGCTGGGTAAAATCGATTAATCTGAACATAAAATGCAGTTTGGTCTATATTATGCATTAGTAAGATGGAGACAACACCGCGGATACGATGTCCTTTTCAAAACATTTTTAATAAAAAAAAATATATATAAAATATATATTCTAACACCTTAAAATTAAAATATACAAAAACATAGTTTAAACCTTTAGTGTCCGCCAGTCCTACAAATCTGCATCTGTTGRTATAGTGTATTCAGTAAAATTCCACTAAAGTCTTTAGACATGTTTTGTGTAATAATCACGAGAAAATATGACATTACCATAWAGTTATTCGTAAGAATTGTGGTGTAAATAAAATATAAATCATATCAATTTTATCCATTTCAAAACATATACCGAACAAAATATTATAACGTTATTATGTCACATGGAATATTAGCTTAATTGTGTTTTGCACATATTTATTTCATAAGAGTGACTTTTACAATTTATTTCATGAAAATACAATTAAAAAAAACAGAACATGAATATAAAAAGCTTGTAATGCAAAAAACCTTTAAAGGGGGATTACTTCGTAGAATTTCAGCAGAACCGTGTAATGTCGTGGTTCATGACACAGGAAAGATAAGTTAAAGTTTAATAATAAAAATAATAGAATAAAAAAAACAACTGAAGCAGCATTTTGTCTTGTAACCTTTCATTTTTCATATTACACTGATAATAATATACTATATTACTATCTTCGAATAACGTCGAAGAAAACGATTTCTCTTAACTGAGACATAAAAATAAAACAAAAACTGTAACAGAGACGCATAACTTACCATACAAACTGTCGTCAAGCAAAACAAATATATAACGACAAATCAATTATTAAGCAAAACAATTACAACACGTTTATCGAATTTATAAACCGATACAACTACGAATTATAAAAATGTTGAGTACATACATGACGAAGTTACCGAAGAAAATTCGAACAGTATTGTTAAGATTAAATACTATATGTAAACTATATTAATCTTAAGAGTATTTTGGTGAGTATTTAAAATCAAAAAAAATTGAATTTTTTTTAAACTTTTATTAGTTAATAAATAATTAAGCATAATATCAGTACTTACTATTTACTTGTATTACATTATTACAACTAAACGATAACACACTATTTATTTAATATTTATAAGATTGTTTTTTGTTATTGCTGGTATAAAGATGATTATAAAGAAAAATTTGAAAAGAGTGAAATATTAAAGGGTATTTTAATTCAGTAAAAATCGTAAAAGAAGTGAGAAGAGAAAAATGTTTTAAATGGATTGGAGATGTATTGATAATTAGTTATAAAGGGTGCGCTTTGGGAGTTTTAAGAAAGATTAGAAGGGCGAATGTAAGTTCCTACACAAGACCTAACAGGTAAACAAAATACATATGTTAGTTCCTACACAGTAAAAAAACGGTACTCGTGTAAGTTCCTACACTACGTAGGAATATTATAAGTTATCAATCTAATATCAGTTATATCGTATTATAATACTGCCATACATTTTAACCTTTTATTCTATATAATACATAATTCTTTATAATATTTAATAATTTGCCTAATAAACAATATCAATTTAATAATTTTAAAAATAATAATTGTAATGTATATAATAATAATTCATAATTGTAAAAAAAAAATATAAACGAGTTCGATTAAATTATTTCATCACTTACTCCACACTATTTTGTTCTTACAATTATGAATTATTATTATATAGGATGCATTACTTATATTTTATATAGAATAAAGGGT